AGTTGAATTCTAACTGTTGCTAATTATAGAAATATTGCTGCTAGCATGGATTGTAGATCCAACAACCATGCTAAACTATTAGTTCTAATAATTTATCTAGGTGTCCTTTTGAGGTGTTTACAATTAAAAAGAAAAACCTGCTTATCTTTCTGCCTTTGGCTGGGACCTGTACCACAGTGCTAGAGGGAACATCCTTGTCTTAACCCCAGTTTAAAGGAAATGCTATAGGGTGGGCATTTGTTGTTGGGTGGTTAAAGCACCACTTGGGATCAAGCCCTGGCTCTTGTTCTAGCTTCTTGCAAATGAGAATCCTGGGAGACCTGAGTGATGTCTCAAGTATCTGGGTCCCTACCAACCACATGGGAGACTTGGATTGAGTTTATGACTCCTGTCTTTTAGCTGAATTTTGCCCAATATGTCACAGGTATTTGTGGAGTGAACCAGTAGTTAGGAACTTCTCTTTCTTTCCCTCTGAAATAAAAACTTGTAAAAAAAATTATTTCCTTTTTAGACTGAATGATCTTCCATCCGCTGGTTCATTCCCCAGACAGCCACAATAGCCGGAGCTGAACTGATCCAAAGCTAGGAGCCAGGAGCTTCTTCCAGGTCTCCCACATGGATGCAGGGTCCCAAGGCTTTGGGCCGTCCTTGACTGCTTTCCCAAGCCACAAACGGAGCTGGGAGGTGGAGCAGCCAGGATATGAACTGGTGCCCATATGGGATCCCAGCTCATGCAAAGCAAGGAGCTCAGACACTAGGCTACCACGCTGGGCTCCAGAAATAGTTTTAAAGACATTTTTCCTCCCCAGTAAGGGATGTCTCTGCCATTTCCTTATGTAGCCCAAATATTATTGCTTTGTGTTCTCTTATTGTTTGCTTTGGCGTAAAAAAATTTAGATTTGGTTTGTGGAGCTGATGTTGGAGGTTATTAGACATGAGTGAGCTTCTTGGCCGACCTCTCCTGGCTCAGCCCCCCTGACTGCTGTGCTTTGTCTTTGCCCAGCAACTTGTTTTCAACCAGATACACAGGTTCAAGGTTCAGAGAAAAAGTGCACAAGTCATTTACAGACCTGTTGCTGCTTCATCTTAGGAGGACAATTGTAAAATCCCAAAGTTATACATTGAAGCAATGATTTATGCCACTGTGGCAATTTCATCTTAGTGTATTTTTATGAAAAAATGGAGGAATTAATTTGCATTCCTAAAACTAATACAGTAAAACTCTACAGTGCCAGTACACATTCACTCCACCCATGAGCCCAAGAACAGCTATGACTGGGCCAGGCTGAGAGCAGGAGCTGAGAACTCGAGCCAGGTCTCCCACATGGGTGTTTGAGACTCAAGTGCTCTAGGCATCACTTACTGCCTTCCAAGGGTGTGCATTAGGAAGTTGGAATTAGAAGTGGGATCAAACCCAGGCACTCTAATGTGAGATGCAGACATCCAAGAATACCCATAGCTGTTGTACCAAATGCCTGCCTCCTGTTCTCATCCGGCATACTTATTGGCACTCACTGTTGGCAGTACATTGCCCTGCACACCTGTCTGACACGTGGTATAAAAGGAAATGGTCTCTGAAGTTGGTCAGGAAAAGCAGTCACTGTACTGTAAGCAGGGTTTTTATTTTTAATATTTATCTATTTGAAAGAGAGAAAAACAGAGGTCTTCCATGTGCTGGTTCACTCTCCAAATTATTGTGACGGCCAGGGCTGGGCCAAGCTAGGAGCCAGGAGTTTCATCCAGATCTCTGACATGGGTGAGAGAAGCCTAAATATTTGGGCCATCTTCTACTTTTTTTTTTTTTTTGAGATTTGTTTTTATTACAAAGTCAGAGATATACAGAGAGGAGGAGAAACAGAGAGGAAGATCTTCCATCCAATGATTCACTCCCCAAGTGACTGCAACAGGTGCTGCTGCGCTGATCTGAAACTAGGAGCCAGGAACCTCCCCAGGTCTCCCATGTGGGTGCAGGTCCCAAGGTTTTGAGCCGTCCTCTACTGCTTCGCCAGGCCACAAGCAGGGAACTGGATGGGAAGTGGGGCTGCCAGGATTAGAATCAGCCCATATGGGATCCTGGTGCATTCAAGGAGAGAACTTTAGCTGCTAGGCCACTGTGCCAGGCCCCATCTTCCACTTCTTTCCCAAACCATTAGCAAGGAGCTGGATTGGAAGTAGAGCAGCTGGGATTCAATCAGTGCCAGTATTGGATGCCAGTAGGGCAGGCAGTGGTGGCTTTACGCACTGTGCCACAACAGTCTCAAGTGCCTTTCTTTACAGACAACAGATAGAAGTCAGAGAAATGAATCCGAACCAACATCACCTGTGGCCCGTGATTTGAAGGCATTGAGCCTTATGGTTTCATAACTCCTTAAAATCAAGTATAAAAGTACAATCTTAAGAGAAACCTGAGGAGCCAAGGTACCCAGCACATGGGCTACTCCAAACTGGGTGGTGCTGTTTTCCATCTTGGCAATTAGTACAAAAGTAGCCTTCAGGATGAATCACCCAAGGGATGAGTGGGCCTTGGGCAGAGGAACATGTTAATGTGGGCAGGTCCAGGGACAAAAAGGCAAAGGCCTGGCACGGTTAAACATGGTGAGCACGGGAGTGCTAAACTTGAACCAAAGGAGCACTTTCAGCTCTAATAGAAACTACTCCTGTGCGTGCTTTGACAAACAGTACAAGGCTGTTCTGTGTCTCGTGAGCCTCTACTACTGCGGCTTAACCCTGAGCTAACGCCAGAAGAAACAGATTATGAGCTTATATAAATGTACACAATTCAGAATTGTATTTCATGCAAAATACTTTTGAAATATTTGTAATCTTTAAGAATATGCCTTTTCCATAGGCTTTTTGAAAAGCTGTATTCAGGAATATCAAAAATACAAATAGGTAAGAGCTTTGATATAGACCTTATGCATTATCATTTGTTTTTAGTAACTCTAAAGTGTATTTTATTATATAAAGCAACAAATAATACATGTCTGGGATTGCTGATAAAATAACTTTCCCTATGAGAAAATATGTATGAGGAGGCTTCAAAAAATTCATGGAAAATACTCATTATGAAAAATAATACATGAACTACAAATTTTTTTGCAAAATAAATACTTTTGATTATATTTTCCCACAGAGTTTTCAAACATTGCATAATAGACAACTTTTAAAATTTTTCATGCCCAACTTCTACATTATGGAGACTTTTTTTTTAAAAAAAAAATGTCGACACCCAAGCAGTCCCCTTGATCCTTTTCTTTAAAAACAAAAGCAAAAGAAAGATTTATTTATTTTTATTGGCAAGGCAGAATTACAGAGAGAGAAGAGTCAGAAATCTTCCAAACACTTGTTCCTTCCCTAAGTGGTCGCAACTGCCTGGCTGTTGCCGAGCTGATCTGGAGGCAGGAGTCAGAAGCTTCTTTGGGGTCTCCCACTGGGGTGCAGGGTTGCCAGCTTTGGGCCGTCCTCTACTGCTCTCCCAGGCCACAGGAAGGAAGCTGGATGGGAAGTGGGGCAGCCAGGACTTGATCTGGTGCCCAGAGATGTGCATGCCACAGTCGGAGGCTTAGTCTTCTGTGCCTGTTAGGAGCCCTTTTAGTTGGACCTCACAACTATGTTCAATTAGAATCAGGCAAAAAGTATTCATTTAACTCACTAAGACAATCCAGAAAACAGGCAATAAGGCATATTTCTGAAGAAAGCAGAACAATGCATAGAGACTACACTGCATGAGGAAAAGATATGCAAATAGTTTTCACACCATCATACCAGCATATCTAACATTAGGAAGGAAAATTAAAAAAAAAAAAAGAGTAGGAAACAAAAACAGTGTAGGGGCCTGTGGATTCGCTGCTGCTTGCAACACGAGCTCCCGCATCAGAGTGCTGAAGTCCCGCTGCTCTCCTGAACCAGCTGCCGGCTAATCCATCTGCAAAAGCAGCAGAGAATGACTCAAATGTCTGGGCCCTTGCCTCCCAGGTAGGAAATCTGAATGTAGTCCTGGCTCAGCTAAAGCCTGCTTCTGTCATTTAGAGAGTGAATCAGCAGATAGAAGACTGTGTGTGTACACATGTGCTTCCCTGCTCACCATCATTTTCTCAAATAAATAAATCTTAAAAAACAGAAACCATACATAGCGCTTTCTGAACTAGGCGTCTCCAAGATGTCAAGGAGATAGGTAAGCTTCTTAAATTTCTTCTACCTCTGATGGCTTTGAAACCTGTTCTCTGTCTTAGATAATCATAAAAGCAATAGCTACAAAATTATAACATTTTTAGGTTAAATAAGAACTTACATCTAAGTTTCAGGGGCGAAAACAAAGCTTTCAATTAATTGTATTAAATTGTATCACCTAAGCAGTCTTCCCCAATTCTCACACACAAAGTATGTGTCTGATATATGTAGAATGTTGATTTTGCTTTTTGTGCATGAAGGCCCTGGTGTTGATCTGATTTTACCTAAAGTTTTAATTAGTATTACCAGCAAATTACTATTAAGTTTGGCAACTGAATAGATCAACTTAAAATTTTAAGCTGTGAAATTCCTCTTTATTCTTTACTCAAATGTAATCCAATCTTTAGTATAATTTGTAAATAGCAACAGCCTTAAAATTTAATATATCTGGGGCCAACATGATGGCTCAGCTAATACTCTGCCTGCAAATGCAAGCATCCCATATGGGCACTGGTTCATATCCCAGCTGCCCCACTCCCCATCCAGCTCCTTGCTTGTGGCCTGAGAAAGCAGGGAGGACAGCCCAAAGCCCTGGGACCCTGAACCTGAATGGGAGACCTGGAAGAAGTTCCTGGTTCCTGGCTTTGCATCAGCGCAGCTCTGGCCATTGCAGCCATTTGGGGAATGAACCAATGGATGGAAGATCTTTCTATCTTTCCTTCTCTCTGTAAATCTGCCTTTCCAATAAAAATATCTTAAAATTTTTTTATATCTCATAAACCAACAATTCTACTTCTAGAAATTTCAGAAACAGCCATGATATACACAAGTTTCAGTGAACTGCTCTTTATAACTGAGAAGATGTAAATAGTCAAAATGCCCAGTAAATAAATTATGATTCAATCATACAATAGAATTATAAACCAACAGAGACTGTTGAAGATTATGTGTGTGACTGGCAAAGACATTCACAATATACTGTTAAGTGGAAAAAGCAGATTACAAAATGGTATGCACAATGAGCCCATTTTATAAAAATATACATATTTTGCAAAGTAAAAAGACAAATGATATTTATCAAAATATCAACATTGGTTTTTTCAACACAGTAGGATGATAATTGATTCTACTTAACTACCCATCCCTTTTACTCCTATTTGAATTTTCCATAATGCAGATTATTTTCAAACAAGGGTCTAGGGGAAGGGAATTACTACCTAGAGTAGCCAACTTGTGCCCTGAAGGCTCCTGGCAGTCAGGAGAGACTCATTTTGCCTAGTGAATTTGAGTGTCCTTCAAAGGCCTCGTTCACTCAAACCTCCTTTTGGCAAAGTAGGCAATAGTAACTTGTGATATTAAAATTGGGGGGAAAAAAACCACTAAGAGAATAAGATGAGAAAATATAAGTCCTTATCTTAAAAAAGAAACAACCAAGTACATACCACTGGATCATACAAAGTCACACTATCTTAGTTTATTGCCAAGAGCAAAACAGCACACGAGGTCGAGGCTTTCTTCCACACTGTCCCTAGCACTCACTCTGTTTTCATTCTCATTCATTCACCGTGCAAAAGGTCTGTACACATGATGTCCAATGTTTCCTGGTTCCCATAGCACAATAGGAAACGACATTTCAATTAAAAAAAAAAAAAGATAAAATTCCTCTTCTGGAAGAGGATACTATAATACTTGAAGATATGCTTTGAAAAAAAAAATCATACACCAAATGAAAGGGGCACCCTTTGGAGGGTTCTAGAACTATGTCAAACTTCAGTGAATTCTAATACTTGCTACAAAGTAAGTCAAAATCTAGTCTTAACAAAAGCTGTAATAAGTAAAACTACGTTAACAGGCACAATGAACAGTGTAAACACTGTTAATGGGCACCGAGTTTAATAGGGCAGACAATAACTTCTGCATTCACAAATTCTTCAGTTACATTTTTAAAATGGTGCAACTTTGAATGGTTTACCCAAAAAAATTAACCTTAATAGATATGGCAAATGCTAAAAACCTAGCTAGGTTACCATGCAAGATAATATCTATAGCCAAGACAAACTCAAATTTATAACAAAGGCAACTTACATTCAAAATGAACTCTACCCTTATATTTTATTAAAAGAGCAAACATCATGAATTAACCCAGCTGCTTACTTGAATTACAAAAGTAACATGATTCAATATGAAAATAAGAAACTGTCTACAAATCTCTGACAGTAATAAATTGCAATATACAATGCATACAGGAGTCATACAGCGCAACAAACTCTCGTACAAAACAAAAATATTTTAATACCTTTAAAATCCAAATTTTCCTTTAAAATCATTCATGAAAAAGATTCTCAAGTTAGAATTAACACCTCAATTAGTCAAGCATCAGGAAGCTACATTACAGCTTTTGAATGTACAAAGAGACATTTTTTTCACCAGTCACTGTCTTCCAATGTCTCAGTTCCAGAATCAGACTCTCATCTCTACACTCCCAGCCCATCATTTCTTCAGATCATGAAAACTGAATTTGTTGAACACCAGAAATCTAAGATAAGAGAAATTTAAATTCAGAATTAAAGAAAAAATAGTTCATAAGTAACATGCATATCATTTAACAGTCAGTGAATTAAAAATAACAATGAAAAATAAATCTGCTCCCTAACTCAGATCTTTTCTACCCAGGGAGTTACTTTAGGAATTTTTATGTCTTCATACAAATTGTCTATACAAATAAACATGTACATAAGTGTTTTTATGAATAACAGAATACTGTACATACCTATGCATACTTAAAAAAAAGTTGTAATAACTTTTATCAAGTCTTTATTAATACATTGAAATTCCCTATAATAAAAAATGTATATATTAAATACAAAGAAGGTACTGTACCTGTTGATATGATGTTGTATAAACCATGACATTTTGTTGTTGACCGTCTGCAGTTATTAAGCCAGCTGGTAACGGGTTAGCTAGAACAAAAAGAGGAAGTTAGAGTCAAAGCAAACCACCTACTTTCTCAGCCTGAACCTTAAGGTTCTGCCACTGATGCCTCCCTACAGTCCCGCTACTTACGATTTAATTTGGGTAAAGTCATAAACGTAAAATTTTCCAATCTAAAAAGTTTCTTGATGTGGGGTCACTGTGGTGGCTCTGCCTGTGTCACCTGCAACCTACATGGCGCTGGTATGAGTCTCAGCTGCCGCACTTCTGACCCAGCTCCCTGCTGATGCCCTGGGAATGCAGGGGAGATGGCCAAAGTCCTTGGGCCCTTGCCCCAGTGTGGGAGACCTGCAAGGAGCTCCTGGCTCCTGGCTTCAGAGCAACCCAGCTCTGGCAGAAGCGGCCACTTGGGAAGAGATCCAGTGGATGAAGATCTCTGTCTCTCCCTCTCTCTCTTTGTGATTCTGACTTAAATAAAATTTTTAAATCTTCCAAAAAAAAGAAAAAGAAAAAGAAAAAGTTCCCTAATGTGCTAAGGCACATTTTTAGTGCATTTTTTCATTTTTAGAATCTTCATCCTTAAAGTATATTTAAGCTAACTGCTCGTGTGTACAAATCTCGAAAACAAAAACTAGAAGAAGTCTGATTCATATTAGACCTATGTGACACCATGAGAGTTAGCTGGGGCTAACTTAAATACAGACATTTGACCTTTCACCAACATAACAATATGATACTCAACTTTTAAATAACAAACTTTAAGCTCAAACTTTTTAAACGACAATATTTTGTATTACAAGCTACAGTTCCCTATATTCGTATCTTATACATCTACACCTAAAACTAGGAGCTATGGAAAGCCAGTGAGAACGTTCAATGAAAAGTTAAGTCTCTAGAATTAAATATTTCTGTACTTGACCACTAATTTCAAATACATGAGTATGGAATAACAAGAACTATTCCAAATAGTACAGTGTTGAAATACTTAGTGCAGCTACTCCTACAAGGACACCTGCAACGTTCGTACGAATCACCCCTCAGCAGTCTGCATGCCGGTCACACTGCCCTGGCGTAACCCTGCTTACTGAACGCCTCCTCGGTGAGCTCTTCGCTCAGTCCATCTGTGGCTGTGACTGCTCCACCAATTCCTTTCTCTCCTTTCATAGCCTGGGGAGGGAACACAAAAAAATCTAAACAAAAACTAAAAAAGTAGTCACTGGTTTCCAAATCAAAGTTTCCAAAATGAGGCTGCTTATTTGTTGCCTAAAATTAGGAGCTCCTATTATTGCCAACACTAAACAGTATTTATTGCTACTTCTGGGTAATTACAAATGAGGAAGCCCTTAAAATGCTTTTTATATAAGCAGTGATCATTATTAAGACAATGTCAGTAATGGCCTAGAAAATCTTAAGGATTTATGGGTAAAACAAACTATTCTAATTCCAAACCCCATTAAAGGAATATGGAGTCACACATTTTAAAAGGCAAATAAGGAACCTTCTTTTGTTGAGAGCCCGACAGGAGGCACTGTGCTCACCTCCCTGAATTTCTGCAGGTACAGTTTCAGAGGCTCCACGTAGCTGTCAAAGCCCAGGGTGGACATGGCAAAGAGAATGTCTTCCCCGTTGATTGTCTTCCGTTTCTCCTGATGGCACCTCTCACTTGCTTCAGATGTTATAAAGCTAATAAACTCACTCACACACTCTTGAACACATTCTTTGGCATCTTTCGCAATCTAATGAGAAAAAAACAAAGGCAAATCTGTAGGGAATATAATGATTATCACCTTAAGCTGAAAAAAGGCAAGGCTAGCTAGAAGAATTTATTCACATGAAGGAAGATACGAGTAACACACAGAAACTCAAAAGTTAATTCATGCACAGTTTAGAACGAAGTAAAACAATGTCACATGGTCACTTTTTTACTTTCTTACTATCCAGAGTATCAGGCTCAGGTCAAGTTCATTAAAAAATCTGCCTGAAGAAGTGCATACCTTCTTTCTCTCTGTAAATCTGCTTTTCCAATAAAAATAAAGGTATAAATCTTAAAAAACCCAGTTGACTAATCCTATTCCTACAAGCATCAGCATCCCATATGGGCACTGGTTCATGTCTTGGCTACTGAATTTCAAATCCGGCTCTTGTGGCCCGGGAAAGCAGTGGAGGACGGCCCAAAGCCTTGGCATCATGCACCCACGTGGGAAAACCGGAAGAAGCTTCTGGCACCTGGTTTTGGATCAGCTCAGCACCGGCCTTGTGGCTATTTGGGGAGTGGGAGTGGGGAGTTACCATCAATTATCACTGACCACCACCCACCGTTGCACACTAAATCTAAGACTGGGGACCTACCTGGCAGGACTTGATCACTATCCCCACCAGTGAGCACTGGAACAGGGACAGGGTAGCGTTAGGGCTGGGCCACGACACTAACCTGCACCCAAGAGAACCAGGTCTGGGGCCAGATTCTGTGGAAGACATCTGGGCCTACCCCTGTGGAACTGCAGTGTCTGCTGGTTTGCTCAAGAGCTGGAGTGGGTGATGGGCTGAGCTAGGCATGACCATGGAACTCCCTGCCCCCTGACATGATACTGGCATTGGAAACAGGTTGGGCTGGTCCAGGCTGCAGTACTCATAGGTGTACCCAGGAATAGGGTGTAGGGCACACAGGCCCCAACATCCACCAGCACATGCAGAGCTTGAAACAGAGGGGACAGACTACATGGGATAAGCAACCACTGGCACATGTGAGATCTGGGTCTGGGAGTGGGCCTGATACGGGAGCTTGGGGAACTCCCCTGGTGGGCCCTAGCTCCTGCTGGTGAGTATGTGATTCAGGTCTGGGTGTGGCTCAGGCCAGGCAGGGCTGCTACACTGTCAGAAAGTGTATAGGTTGCTTCTTGGTGGGTGGGGCTGGCCAGGCAGGGCCAGGCCAAACCATAGCACATTGGCAATGTGCAGGAGCCTGTGTAGGTCAGGTCTCGGGGAGGACCCAGCAGTGCCAGTTCATAACACCCCCTGGCAGGCAGATGTGAGAAACAGGACAGGACGCTCGACAGGCCAGGCTGGGCCACACCACCAGCCAGTTCACATTATGGCCAGGATGGAGAGCTGGCTGGGCCAGACTAGGCTGCAGCACCCACAAGCAAGAGATGGAAATGGGGACAGACCAGGCCAGGCTCAACACCCACTGGCAAATGTCGAGGTGGGGTGGACCTTGCCAGTCTGGGCCAGAGAACCCACCAGCACACGCAAGATACAGAAGAGGGGTGGCAAGCCCTGTAGTAGGGCAGAGAGGACTCCTGTGCTGGGTCACTGCTGTCACTGGTAAGTGTGAGAAGTAGGACCGGGGGCAGACCAGGCTTGGCAGGGCTACAACACCTGTTGGCCTGCACTGTGAGCTGGATCAGGGGGAAAGGCAGGCTGAGCTAACCGACTGTATCCATTGGTATATACATGAGCCAGAGTAAGGGCGGGCTGATTGGGCTCACTCAGCTGGTAAGTGCTGGGACAGAGATCAAGTCCTGTCAAGCCAGATTGCAGAACCACCTGGAAAGTCCAAGATCCGGGGCTGAGTCAGCCTAGTAGAAAAACTGTGGGCACCCCTCTAATGGGCTGCAGCTCCTACTAGTGAGCCTTAGAACCAGGGCTGGGGGTGCACCTGGCTAGACAGGTGGAAGTACCCACCACATAAGTATGATTTGGATAGTGGAGATGGTTGTCAATAGTGCCCATTGACATGTACAGAAGTTTAATGGAAGGTGGGACAGATCAACTGGACCAATCTGTTGCGCATACAAAATCATGTACAGGAACCAGGGTTTGGGATAGCCCTGGTTGGGATCACTGGGGGTCACTCCAACAAGGCTGCAGTTCCCACTGGTATACATGAGGGCTGAAAGCATGGTGGGCAGGGTTGGGCTGGGCCAGAATATCACTGGCTTTTGTAAGAAATGGGGCTGGAGACAGAACTACCAAGCCACCACAAACACTAGTGTGTGTGTAGGCTGCTGTGGGTGATGGATTAAGCCGGACCCTGTACTGGCCAGCACACAGGTGTCAGTTCTAGGGTCATCTAGGTGAGGTTTCTTTGGAGAACCTCCCTACCCCCAACTGATCCACTAGACTCAGAATTCCAACCACGGGGAGAATCAAAGCATCTGTGATCCAACGGTGGCGTGCATGTGTCAGAACTGGGCCTTCTCAGTTCTGAAGATGGTGCAGCACATGGCATGCCGAGGTACACACCGGGTATATGGCAGTCCACTGGGGCCTGCAGAGGGCATCTAGTACCACAGCAGAGGATGGAGGGTAGAACAAATAGACAACTCTCCCAGCCAAGTGTTGACAGCATGTACCTGGTGCCTCCGCTTGGAGACTGGGAGGGACTGTCACCCAGTGGACCTTGGAAGAACTTTCCCATCCTTGCAGCAACAAAATCAACCCCATTTCCAAACTGAACTCAGAGCATGCTCCACTTAGGGACCCTGGGATGACATCAAGTGGCCGTCCCCATCCCTAGTTACTGACATGGTTAGGATACAGGGTGTGGCTTCTCCCCTTCTCTCCCTCCCTCCCCCAGATACAAGAAGAAAAAGAAAATTGGAAACAAATCGTCTCATCCACTTTACCCTATTCCTCAGCCCTTCCCCCCCAATCAGTGGTCACATGGGCATGCATCCTTCTCAACTATGTAAACATCATCAAAAAAAATCATTAGCTGAAATGTAAGTACGTGGAAAGTTATTTCCAAATACCAAGACTTCTAAAAATTTTTTTTACTGCAGTCCAATATAACCAAATTTTGTTGTAATACTACAGAAGTACAACCAACCTGACATACCTAGAGCTTCCATGTACCTATTTTTTCAGCTTTGTAATTCTGTTTTACCTGTTTCCAATGAGAAGAGGGCAGTTTTGGGGACTGGGACAACTGAAGATACAACACTGTTCAGTAACTGAGCACATAGAGTCTGAGCACTGTGAAAAGGCCGAGTGATGAACTACATCCAAATACTATGTATTCACAGGCTTACATTCTACCCCCCTGAAAAACTAGTTAAACTTCTCCGCATTACCTTTCCTGTTTGAGGTATGGCGTTCTTCATTATCCTAGCCACATTTGCAATTGGAAGATAGATATCTTGTTCTCGGAAACTTTCTTTTGAGCCATTTGTGTCTTCATGATCATTCATGCTGTCCTCAGTATCTGAAGAAGCAAAAACTTTGCATTTAAAGCTTGTCATAATTTTTACTCTGAGATTTAAAAAAAAAAATCTGTCCGATCAGGAAGACTGGCATGTACATCAATCCTACTGTTTTATAAAAGTACACTTCACTTCCAAATTATATAGACTTAGATATAACTAAAGATTTCAGTAACATCCTTTTATGACTAAAATACAGCATCTTTAAATAAACTGCCCGCTCTTTCTGTGGACTAATACATATGAGGTGTTTAAGATGATACAGGCTGACTCTATTTCCATTTTATGTGTTTAAATGAGTTAAAGTTGAGTTGATTTTAATATATGTTTTAATATGAACTATCTAATCCCATCTTCCCTGGAATGGTTTTCTAAAAAAAAAAATCTCTAATTTCCAAAATTTTCCATGTCAAAAACGCCATGAAGGAGCAGGCATGTGGAAGGCCTGAATGCCATCTCACACTGAGTGCCTGCATCTGAGCCCTGCTCCGTTTCTAAGTCTAGTGTCCTGCTGATGTGCACCCCAGGAGGCAGCACATGACAGCTCAAAAGACCTGGGCTCCTGGCCCAGCCCCAGATGTGTGGGGATAGAGGAAATAAATCAGGAGACAGGAGAGCTGTGTCTGACTTTCAAATAAATCAACACATTTTATTTATCTTTTTAAAGATTTATTATTTTTATTGGAAAGCCAGATATACAGAGAGGAGCAGAGATGGAGAGGAAGGTCTTCCGTCCGATGGTTCACTCCCCAAGTGACTGCAATGGCTGGAGCTGAGCCAGTCTGAAGTCAGGTGCCAGGAGCTTCTTTCCAGGTCTCCCATGGAAGTGCAGGGTCCCAAGGCTTTGGGCTGTCCTCAATTGCTTTCCCAGGCCACAAGCAGGGAGCTGATTGGGAAGCAGGGCCACCGGGATTAGAACCGGCCCCCATATGGGATCCCGGCACGTGCAAGGCAAGGACCTTAACCACTATACTATTTTGCCCGGGCCCAACACATTTTAAAAAGTAATATTACATGCACCCATGTGGGAGATCAGGAGGAAGCTCCTGGCTCCTGGGTTCAGACTGGCTCAACTTCAGCCCTTGCGGCCACTGGAGAAGTGAACAGAAGATCTTTCTTTCTGTCTCTCCTCCTCTCTGTATATCTGCCTTTCCAATAAAAATAAATAAGATCTTAAAAAAATAATAATGTGGTCTAGTAGGTCATCACAACTATATTATAATTCCTAATATGAATATTACGTAAGTCCTAGGAATTCAACATCCAAAAGAAAATAAATATACAATAAAATACAATATCCAACAATTTAATTCAACCTCAAAAATATTTTTATGACTATCAATTAAGAATTTCTTAGGGTCAGTACCATGGCATAGTAGGTAAAGTCTCTGCCTGCAATGTCAGCGTCCCATATGGGCACCAGTTCAAGTCTAAGCTGCTCACTCTACTTCCAATCAAGCTCTTTGCTGATGTGCCTGGGAGAGCAGCAGATGGCCCAAGTCCCTGGGTACCTGCAGCCATGTGGGAGACCCTGAAGAAGCTCCTGACTCCTGCCTTGAGATTGCCTGGCTCTGGCTGTTGTGGCCACTTGGGGAGTGAACCAGCAGATGGAAGCTCTCTCTCTCTCCTCCCGTCTATAAATCTGCCTTTCAAACAAACAAATAAACAAAATGCTTAAAAAATTGTATCATATTTACTAGGAAATGAGTAACCAATTTAAAATAAACTATACAAGTTTTAAAAAAGTGCATGCTTTTGTAGAATTCTATAATTCAAATAGCTTTGAAAACTATTTTTAATAAAAATAGCTAATTAGACCTTTTTAACTTTTCCCTGAACCATGATGTAAAGCTGCTAATTTTTCTGTGAAGACAAATGCAACAGGACATCATATTTCCTACAACTCCATTTCCTAACGTGTTTCTGCTCGTGAAGGCGGCTCCAGGGCGGGCCTCTCACCATCGTGGGGCTGTATGACGTAGTGGCTCCCTCCAATGTAGTCTGCAGAAATGCCCAGCTGCGAAGCGTCTGTGGTCGAACTATCACCATCCATCTAGGAGCAAAAAAGCACAGATTCCCAGTACTCTTCAGGGAAGCTTACACTGAAACACACAGTAGATTCAAGGCTCATAAACTGTCAAGATGGGTCAGTTACATTGCTCAAAGCTTAAGCAAAAAGAAAACATATGTCTTTAATTGGAAACTTTTTAATAACTCAAAAGATTCCTTTATCCATCTTCCTTGTTTCCTTAGGCATAAAACTGTATGGAAACAAAAAAAGAAAACTGAAAACTGAAAGAAAAAAAAACCCAAAACACCTGAAGCAGATGCCTCTTCTTGAACGGCCTGCTTCTCCAGCTCAATGCACTCCACTAAGAGCGCCCTGGAATCATCCTGGGAATGACAGTCAAAGCTTCGCTTGCGCAGGAAGCGAACTGGCAGTCACATCTACCCATCACTCGCCACTCTTCTGCTGAGGCCTGCTGTCCTGGAGAAACCCTTCGTGCCTCCCCAAGGCTCCACACTGGACGCCCAGGCCTACGCTGCCGCTGCACAGTCCTCAGGCAGCATCCAGCCCGGAAGTGGTCAAAGGTGACCCCGGCTCCCCTCCATCCTCAAACTGTGCTTCTTAAAAGGGAGGGGAAAGGAGCTAGGAGCATATAGACAGGAAAATTATAATCACAAACAAGAATTAGGGTCAAAATAACAATTTCACACAAAGCCTTAGCTCATCTTCCTTCCAGCTGAAAGAATTACAAGAGGATAATTTGGGGGAAGGAAAGGAACCCAAAGCCCTGAACTGGCTCCATCCCATCTCCCCCACGTGGTGCCTCCCAGACGTGGTGCTTGGCAAATGTTGCCATTCAGCACCATGCACCGATAGGAGAATTTTAAATATACTACCCGCATTAGAAGCACTGCATATACCAACTATAACTTGTACATGCTTTCAGGTGAAAGAGATTCTTGCCCCTCACAGTTTATTACGGCCCAGGACCCATGATGTTAACTGCAGCCTTTTAGTGCCTGCAGAACTCATGTCTTCTTCCCACTCGATTGGATTTCTACCTAATACCGAAGAATTGGATTACTTTCCAAGTCTTTGGAAACCTAGCATTGCACTCACTGCTCTGTTGTGATGTCTAATTGTACATATATATGTCCATAATTTACATAGTTGTTTTTCAAGGAGGTAGAAAACAACACTCATAGACCTCTAATAAAGTGAGATGAAGGGCATTTACTTATTGATACTCTGTTACTTTAAGAAGCAAACAACACAGTAAGCCAACTGGCCCAGATTTTCCCACTAATCCTCTAAAAAACAAGAAGGTCCAGTGAGTAAAATGTATTTTTGGAAAATGGAAATAACAATACTACTGAAATAAAGTGAAACACTAGCCTGATCTAAAATGCCATTGTGATGCGAAGGTGTGAGCAAGATGCTCAGAGGGCAAGTGTTCGGAGGCATGATGAGGGAATTGTGTGTGCCAGAAGAAAAAGGTCCATTAGGACATCTCTGAGCGGACTGCTTCTCCTAAGGGTGACGGAAGGCAAATCAGGCTGGGAAGGACAGAACCTACAAGTGGAAGCCAATCCTTGTGGGGAGCGAGGGAGGGGTAATAATGGAAATCAGTTTCCTAATTAAGGTCCACAAGATACCACAAGTCTCTTAAAATTAGCTAACGAGCAGGACGTTATTGAAACAACCAGGCAGATGTGACAGATGGTTTAATTTATAACACAGTATCACAGGCAAAAAAAAAATTTAAGCCATATTATTGTGTTACACACTGGAATTTAGTAGCAAGGTTACCACTTGGCCTAGTGAGACCCCGCCTCCCTAAGCCTGTCTCCCAAGGAGTGGCAGGTATTTCACAGAATCCTCAGGATTAAGTAAAGACCAGGAAGCTGCCAAGGCAGGCTTTTTTCCCTCTGAAGGGAAACCACACTTCTTCTGCTTGACTCTGTCCCTGTGGTTCCAGTTTCAGCTTTTCTGTCATTTCACTTTCTGTTTTCCTCTCCCGACCCAGACTCCTATTCTGCAATTCAAAACCGAAATGCTCTCTTCTTAGAAGCCCCTATGACACTTAAACCTTTCATTCAAATCTTGATGCTTTCATTACAAAGGTACCTCAAACAGTTTCTGGGAAAATTGAAGTCTTTTAGTGCATATAAAAGGTTTGAAATCCATGCAGCTTTTCCGTTAATATACATTTTCCATGAACTTTTTGCATCTCAAAAAATTTTAAAGCAAAATAAACAGAGCTTTTTATTGCATTTTCCAGACTTTTTTTTTTTTAAGTTTACTTTTATTTATTTGAAAGGCAGAGTGACAGAGACAAGGAGGGAGAAAAAGCAATCTTCCACCCACTAGGCAACTCCCCAGACACCCAATCTGGCTACGACTGGGGCAAGCCAAATCGAGGAACTGGAGACTCCTATTGGGCCTTCCACCTGGGTGACGGGCATGCAATTGGGCCATCTTCTGTTGCCTTCTAAGGCACATTAGCCAGGAGCTGAACTGGAACCCGAGCAGCCAGGACTCCAATCAGCACTCTATCTGACAGGGAATGCCTGCATTGCAGACTGCTGCTTTACCTGTTGCCTCACAAACTTTCTGAAGTACCTTCATATGGCAGCCATTATCTAATACACAAGAAATGATGGAAGGAACCTGCCAGATACATCCCAAGGGTCTCCTCAGGTCCTAAACTCTGGTAAAAATGTGTAGAGGGTAGATTGCAAGGAGCTGCTGACATTGAGTACTTGACACTGAGCAGGCCGCTGGTGCCGTAACAGCAGCACACAGGCCTCTGTCCTCTCCCTGCAGAGGTAAATGTTAGGCAAGCTGGGGCACCGGGTGCTGCGGTGCACAGTTATCACCCGTTAGAACTTCTAGGGCGCAAACTCTAAATCAGAGCAGTTTGAATTCCCTGCTGTCTACTCTTCACGAGACCAAGAACAAGTAGCTTCACACAGCTCCTGCAGTAGTTAGCACAACACAATGGGAACACTCATTAAATGTTATATATTCGGTTAAATAATTACAAAGAACTATTAGAGCTAAGAATAACTCCAGGTTTGTTACATGTTATGGGAGCTTATTCCAAAAAGATCTCACTAGTGCAAGAGGCCAAGAGAAGGTGCACTAGGGAATGACATGTAACCTGACAGTGAAAGATGAATACAAATCATTAAGCAAAGAAAGGTAGGGAACTGAGAGATATAGCCCTGGCAGACTGGGAGAGCCAAGAGGAGCATCATCTAGCAGAGCTTAAGGGCAAAAGTATAAGTTAGATATCCTTTTTGAAAAGATTACTTCTGGAGCATGTGCAATGGCTCAGCTGGCAAGCACTGGCACCCCATATGGACTCTGTTTCGTGTCCTGAGAAAACACAGGATGGCCCAAACCTTGGGTCCCTGCACCAGCCTGGGAGACCTGAAGAGGCTCCTGGCTTCAGTTAGGCTCAGCTCTGGCCATTTGGGGAGTGCACCAGAGGATGGACCATTTTTCTCTCTGTCTCTCCTTCTCTCTGTAAATCTTTCCAATTAAAAAAAAAAAAAACCTTAAAAAAAAAAAGAAAGCATGACTCCAGCTACCATCCAGTACACAAAATGACATGAAGAGTCGTGAACAGAGAGAGGAGTGGCAACCAGTGAGGCTCACTCCCCGCAGCTGGCTCAGGGCGGCAGCAGCAGGGGGTGAGAGGAGCAGAGAGTTGATGGGAAGGAAAGCCAAGAAGACCAAGAGGATAGCACAGAAATTTGAGGAAGAAGCAAGGGCGATGGTGGCATTCTCACAGCTGGGGAGACAGACAGCTGCCACTGCAGGGACATGGAGGAAAACAAGAGAAGAAAAGTGGGCAGCGAAAAGCCCTGAAGTTCAAGCTGGTGATCAAGACTTTTCCGTGGCCTGATCTGCACGCGTGGAAGACCTGGCAAAAGGATGCTTAAGAGAATGGGTAAAATGATGAATACCTGTGCAAGCGCACTAACACACACAAACAGGACTTGGAGCCCATTCATTTAGCTAAATAAACAGTCAGCTGGCTGAGTAAATTTTTATTCTATTTTCATCATACCAATAGTTACATTAGGCCAATAACTTGCTGCACAAATACAGTAAACAGTAACCCCTTGCACACATCTGCATTTATGGAACGCTTTTGGAGCTGTCTCATGCAATCTTGAAGGACTTGTGAAACAGGCAAGAATGCTACAGTCTGTGGGGCTGATGCTTGGCCCCAGGTGGTACAGCAACCAGAACTGGAATCCGGCACTGCCCTTGCCACGTTCTTCCCAGTGTTCCTCCCTGGCAGTTCTTCCCCTAGTCCTTCAGCCCACACTGCTAATCTGCCTTTAAATTCTAACTCTGCGGATGCCACGCTGAAGACACAAGCAGCTTCTCCTGCGAGGACAATTCCCGGGAAGTAGTTACAGCACTTGCTCTTGGGGCACCTGCCAGCTTTGCAGCTTGGCTCCCCACAAGGAGCCTCTGCTTCCATCCCCCTCGATTTCAACATGGACTTGCTGTGAGAAGCTGCTGAGTGCAAGGCGCTTAGCAGCGTCAGATACGTAAAGAACTCCAACAGCATCATCGCGCATCCTGACTGCCCCAACCCAGTGCTCATTCCTCACAGGCACAAGTCTACCCTCCTGAGCCTGCTCTGTGCATCCCATTCTCTTCCCAAGGACAAGAACTGACACTTCTCATCTCTAATGCATCTTCAGTCCTATGGAGGCACACGCAGTCTCACTTATTAAATACACAGAAGGCCACACAGGCAGAACTGGCCTTCTGCCTAGCAATCACTCAGCCCGACACACTGCCCTCTCACACCTCTGTATTCCTACTTCAGATCCCTGACATAACTTAGCCTCTTTAACCCTACACAACACGGAAGCCACTGAGGAGTTCCCTCAGAGTGAGCTTGCCTGCAGCCAGCGTCGCCACTGGTGCTACTGGTCCCTACTGGCTCCTGACTTAAGCATGGAATTCTCCACTCACTTGGTTTCCAAAGCAGTATTCTGTCCTGTCTACACCTAAATTCTTAGCACAATTCGAGGTGGTTGTTTTCTCTTTCTTCATGAACTCATTAAAGATCACTTCTACACTTACAGGTCCCAAACCTCTGGCCGGCCCCCTGCCTGCCACACGAGCAGCCCCCAACACTGGATGTGCGGAAACATGCCCGGTCAACCTGCAAGTCTAAGACCACACCGACCTTCCTCTGTTCCGGGCTACCATGCCAGTGTCACCTTAGGGTCCTCCATGTCACCGAAGTGCAGTCTGACAGCTCATCCACAGTGTCACCTGGGGTTTCCTCCTTTGCTTCCTCCTGGGACCACGACCCCAGCCTGCCTCACCATACTGTCTGAAGACTAACCTCATATGACACCACTCCTACTGCTCTTGAACAGGCTCCTAAAGCTTCCAAAACGTCTCCAGCGTCAAAGCTGAACCCAATCCCCATGACTTTTCCTGGCCCACCTGCACTGAACCTAATGTGGCTTCATTTTTACTTTTCTATCTTCAAAACCCCTAAGAATCTTAGTGCTATTTAAGGACCACAAGATCCAGGTCTTTCATTTTAGGAGTGAGGCAACCAGGGATCTAATTGTGACAGGCAAGAGGTCCAGATACAGCAGCATTCAGAGCGGGATACCCAGCCAGGCCACGTGACCTCCCAAAGACTGTGCAATCCTCGCTCAGCCAGTGCACCTTGGCTCCACACACCCTAAAAGGATACTAACTGGTGCCTCCAGGCTTGGCTGCTGGTGGAACCTTCCAGCTGGCCAAGTCCCACTCCCCCTACAAAGTTCAGAACTAGGTCTCCAGGCGCTCAGCTGCCTTGACATTCCCAGCGGCTTGGACCTAGGCCCACCACCGGGCCCCTTCCACTGGCACTGCACCTAGAGTATTCCATTCATAACCAAACTGTCCTCAGAGTATCCAAGCTGACTAAAGTCCCACCAGTTAAACTGCCCCTCACTGGCCAGGACACGTTTCAGCCCCTAGGAAACACTTAACACAAGGAACTGAAAACTGGGAAGCAAGGAGAACAGGCAGAGGCACAGCCTGGCTCTGCTTGGAAGGTACTTGTGTTAGGAAGCTCCAGTACAAACCCACCTGAACCAGTCAATTACTGTTCAAATCCAATTAACCACCCAAGTGGTAGAACATACTTACTCTCATGAAACACTGCTAGCGCGAGCCGCGGTGCCAGTGCTGCTCACCAACACCTTCCCCAAAAGGCGTCTAGTGTCTGCCCAATGCCTACCTAAAAGATAAACATCGATTAGAGGTAAAAACACACCGCCCAAAGGCCTTCCTCCTAGGACCACAGAGGCGGGCATGCATCATCCGGGCCGCGATGCCGCGTCAATGGAGCACATGGTGATACATGGCGGAAGCAGGCACCTAAGCTAACCGTGTGGAAGCTGACGGCCAAGTTCACTGCACGGCAGGGAAGGGCAGCCTGCTTCTCCAATGTACCCTCAGCCCTAGTCCTGTCCATCGTCCTCATCACAGTGCACTAAATGAGGCTCAAACACCCTCATCCGCAAGAAACCAAGAGTTACACATCTAACCAACATTCAAGAAAGAAGTATTCCAAATTAGTTTCTAACAACACAAACACCCCAGTCAACAACTCAATTTTTGGGTGGTGCTTTTCCCCAAGTTTCAGAGACTTAGGCACTTTAAGGGTGAAAATGAGGGGAAAATTAAGCCAGAATGTAATGCTGTTAAATTAAGTGTAACAGATAATACTGCAAAGCTGGGCCATCCAAGAACACACACCAAAAAAACAAATCACAATTAAGACCTTAACTTAGAATTGGGAAGCATCACCATTTTGTGCTGAAATTGCATCTTAGCAGCACTTCAATCTTAGTGTAAGGCATAACTAGCTGAATACATTAGTAGCAGTTACAATATACCAGCTTTCTTTCTCATTTGCTCCTTTTTTTTTTTTAACACGGGGGTGAGGGACAAAACAATACATTCTTTCAGTGTGAATTTTAAAGGAAGGTGAAATACTGATAACCTTTCAAGCATGAAATCTTGGAAATTACAGAAAAGAACCTGGGAGCCATAGAATTCAATTTACAAAATGCCACTGGATGGATCCAGGCAGCAAAGACTGACATCTGCTATAATCTTAAAAAAGTAATTTCTAATTTCTTTTCAAATAATGGCTTCTTTACAAATGCAAAACCACCTAGAAAAATCCCATCTTTGTAACCAGAAATGTTATTTTTAAGTCTGCCTTTGAAAAAATCGAAATCCTCAGAACACTTAAAATACAGCAGTTATACACTCATCTATCCTAGTTGGAATGGGGGGGTGGGAGATGGAGTGAGCCACACAACCCCACCTTCATTTGCCCAAATAGTTGACTACATATATATTTAGACATAGTGCACTGAAGAAAAAACAGCGTCACCTCCCAGGGCATATATTAAGGGTCGGGTTAAGCTAGACGCAAAAGCTCAAGGGAATGCATACATCTGTTTCACGTTTGGAGAAATGCAAATTTGTATCCAAGAAAAGCAGCAGTCCCTTCCTCCACGCTCCATTCTTTGGCACCAACATAATCCTTAAATCAAGCTACAAGAGCAGTGCAGGGGGGGAGTAACTGCCTTTCATTTTAAAGGAATTCTGGTTAAACTTTTAAATCTTTCATAAATAAAATCCCTACTTATTAATGCCATTGATATCGACCCGTTCACCTCATCACTCTGCACACTAGCTCACTACTTTCCACACCAGGATTGCACACCTGGGGCACAATCAGGAGGTCCACGCGGGTCAGGGGTGCCATTTTTCTAAAGGTCGCATGCTGGCTGCCTACCCATGTTTAAATCATCCCGTGCCAGTCCTCCGGGCGAAATGACGATGTGTGGGTGCTGTGTAATTCTTTGTTCTCCGAGACTACGGCTCCGTAAGGGCCCGTGCATACCCTCCCGCCTCCCAGCAGCCGTGACTGAAACCTTAGTCCAATCCGAACGGCTTCCTTCCCACCTTCGGGGCAAGTCCGGGGACCGCGAGCCGCCAGATGGCTGCATTCTTTACGTGCAAACCAGACTGCGGGGGACACCGAAGTCATTCTTTGCTCCGGGGGACCTCGCCGCCTCCCCTACGCGCAGGTGTCCGGGGCGGCCCGGGCCCCACGGACCAGCCGGCCGACCTGTCAGCCCCACACGTGCGGTGCGGTGCGGTGCGGACCTCCCGGGCCAGCCCCGACCCCGCGCCCAACGCCTGCCTCCCGCCCGCCGCGCGGGGCACACAAAGCGGCCGGGCCCGGCCAGGCCCCCCGCGGGCCGCCGAGCGAGCGGGGGAGCGCTCCCGCAGGACGCCCGCGCGACGGCCGAGGTCCAGGGGGGCCGGGACACCCCGGGTCGCGCGTCCGCCCGCCGGGCCCGGGCTCCCCGCAACAAAATGGAGCCGGCCCCGGGGGCGCCGCCGACAGCGGCCCCCCGACCGTGCCCCGGGCGGCCCTCTCCGGCCTCGGGCTCCCGGAGCTCCAGGGCGGCGAGCGGGAGGGTGGCCTGGCCCGCGTCCCGCCGCTCCTCGGCCCGGCGCACACAAAGAGCCGCGCCGCGGCCCCGCGCCCGCTCCCGGCCCGCCACAGGCCCCGCAGCAGGACGCGCGGCCTCGCAGGCGCCGGCCCGGCCCGGCCTCGCGGCTCCTCGGGCTCGGGCTCGGGCTGCGGCCGGGCGGGCGGCAAGGAGGCGAGTGCCCCCGGCCGCGGCGGCGTTGGCGGCGGGGACGGCGCCGGGAGGAGACGGACATTTCATTCGAGCTAAAGTGGAGTCGGTTTAGGAGCGATCATTGGCCGAAGCGAGACACAAACCTCCAATGCAGCCCTGGTTGGCTCCCGTCTCCAATCGGCTGTTTGGTTGGACAGAAAATGGCTGCGAAGGAACCAGTCCCAGCGCGGAGCTCCCCTTCCAGGACTCGGCCTCCCCTCCCTCCGCCGCGGGCCGCTTCCCTCGGCCCGCCACCCTCCCTCCGCGCCGCCCGCCGCGGCCCCGCCCCGGCCCCGCCCCTCCGCGCTCGGCCCCGCCCCAGGCCCCGCCCCGCCCGCCGCGGCCCTCGGAGGCTGCGCGCCTGAGGCGGAGGCTGCGCGCCTGAGGCGGCGGGGCCCGGCGCGGGCGCCTCCGGGCTTGGCGGGAGCCGCGAGGCCCCGGATGCGGCGCGCGGCCGGCCTCTCTGCCGGTGTTCTTCCCCAGCGTGTTTGCCGGGCCTGGGTGAAGCGTCCCGTGTCGCGTCGCCCCCGCTGTCGGTGAATCGTCCCCCTTCCCCGCGTGCACGTTGTGGACCGCCTGCGAGAAGGGGCAACAAACAAACAAAAGAAACGAAGGACAGAAGCGGCGCCTGAGGCGACACCCGAGCTTTGCGGGGTGTATTTTTTTTTTTTAGGGCGGTTGCTTCCTGGGACGGGGTCCCTCGCGTCCCCGTCGGCGTTGCGGGACGCGCCGCGCTGCCTCCCGTCCTTGGTCGCTGAGCACGAGTGTCACCTTTTCCGATGTCAACCATTCACCATCCCCTTCCTCCACGGCGTCAGCGGCGCCTCCGTGCACGCAGCGCTGACGGTGAGCGGGGTGCGTGGCCCCTCGGTCCCTCCGCCACAGGTGGCAGCGACCCGAGGGCTGCCGAGTTTCTGTCTGCAGAATGGGTGGAACTTGCTTGCATATACACCTCTATATACAAATGTGTGTATAAATACATATTTGTTCACTTGAAAGGCAGAGGGAGGGAAAAACAGAAATCTCTCCCATCCACTGGTTCTCTTCCCAAGCGGCAGCAGGTGCCAGAGCTGGGCTGGGCTGAAGCCAGGAGCCAGGAGCCGCTTCCGGATCTCCCACGTGAGAGCAGGGATTGTTGGCCACTGCTTTCCCAGGCACATCAGCAGCAGGGAGCCAGATGAGAAGTAGAACAGCTGGCGCCCATATGGGATGCTGGCATCCCAGGAGGCAGCTTTCCTAGCAATGCCACGGCGCTGGCCACTCCGTCTCAGTCTCTCTAGTTGAACTCCTCCAAAAATGTAGAGAGATGTTTTACTTCGAAGATGTCTGTTGTTTCCCAGCTCGTTTAAACATATCCGGGGCACGGAAGGAAGCCAGGAAAGTGAATGCCCCAAGTTCCTGCTAACAGCAATGCTCAGTTCAGGCAGCCTGACAGCGCCACCCGGCTCCCCACCCCGGTCACTGGCTTGTTCTGGTGGACACACTTTAGCTTTCTGTGATTATAATGGGAATAATGTCAGCTACGTTTTGGGGTTGTTTGAAGGACACTTAGAAAACCAACTCCTAAAAATACGTGTGAAAGGTACAGCAGCAGAGAAAGAGAAGCGGGGAGAGACAGATCTTCCATCCACTGGTTCACTCCCTCAAATGGCCTCAGCGCCAGGGCCACGCTGAAGCCAGGGACTCCACTGGGCTAGGAATTTGGACAATGTTACTGCCTTTTCAGGCTTGTCAACAGGAAGCGGAATAGGAAGTAAAGCCATCGCAGCTCAAATGGACATTCCAGTAAGGGACGTGCCCCAATGCCAGTTCCAGGTTGTCTTATCCTGAGATTTTTATGTGGTAAGAATTTCAATCTCCGTAAAACTCCTACATGAAATTGGAAAGGTTATTATGAATTTGTTTATTTGAGAAACAGAGCTCCCAACCACTGGTTCACTCCCGAAGTGCCCACACAGGCACTCTGGGGGTGTGGCTCAGAGCCAGAACTAGCAACTAGCTAGTTCTGAGCCAGAACTAGCTAGGACCTCCACATGGGTGGCAAGAGCCTGCTTACCTGAGTCATCAGCACTGCTTCACAGGGTCTGTACTGTTTAGGAAGCTGAACTCAGGAGCCAGAGCTGGGCTTCAGATCCGCACGCCTCACTGCCTGGGATGCAGGCATTTTAACTGAGGGGGAGGGAGAGAGCTTCTGTCCACCAGTTCATTCCACAGCTGGCCGCAATGGCCAGGGGTGGGCCAGGCCGGGGTCAGGAGCTTCACGTCTCCCAGTGGGTACCAGGGGCCTGTGTACTTGGGCACCCTGCTTTTCCTGGGCTGTGAGCAGGGCTGAGAGCTGGAGCAGGCTGGGCTAGTCCTTGATGCAGACCACAGGATTGGGTTTTGCATCTATGCCAACTTTCTCTGGATGGCTTCCAAATCCTGTATCTGCGGGAAACGAGAGGGCACCCTGCCCCATTGCCAGACATCTCTTGAGCTTTGAAAAGGGGGGTGGTTACCGGGAACACCCTCAGGGGCCAGGTGAGGGATAAGACATCCTGGAAAAAGGGCCATTTGATTGACAGCTACATGGATAAGATTACACAGGGTGAAGGAGGGGTGATTCTAAATCAGGCACCAACCTGTGCGATTTTAGTCCCCTTTCAGAGATTCCTGACCTTTAATCTTAAGAGTTGCTAAGGGCCCAGTGCAATAGCATAGTGGCTAATTTTTCACCTTGCATCTGCCAGGATCCCATATGGGCACTGGTTCATATCCTGGCTGCTCCACTTCCCATCCAGCTCCTTACTTGTGGCCTAGGGAAGCAGTCAAGGACGGCCCAAAGCCTTGGGCATCTGCACAAATGTGGGAGACCTGGAAGAAGCTGCTGGTCCCTGGCTTCAGAGTGGCTCAGCTCCAGCTATTGTCAAATCTGGGGAGTAAATCAGCGGAAGATCTTGGTATCTCCTTCGCTCTATATATCTGCTTTTCCAATAAAAATAAAATAAATCTTTAAGAAAAGGTTGCTAAACAGTGTGGATCCATCATATTTTCTGTAGCTGCTGTGTGCTGGGTAGGGGCATACCTATCCCATGTTCAGAAATCTCTCCCGGTCTCATCTGATTGGTCCATCTCAGAAGCCGGAGAATTTCCAGTCATGCCAATGACTATGTGCCAGTGTGGTCCTCATGACCCAGCCTCTGCCCGCATGGCCCAGGCCTTAGGACCCAGACCCTTTCCCAGCCAGGCCGGCCATGGGGCAAGGCCAGGCCTCTATCAATCTTTTAAAACTATCATTTGCAAAATAGAAATTTTAACCTCTGCATTTCTCTGTGTCTGTTCATAAGGCTGCATGTGCTCAGAAGACGGAGACGTAAACGCCCAAGTCCTAGAAGTGGGAAAAGCGTGACTAACCCGCACACTGGAGGAACAAGGAGGTGACGACGACTCCTTTCCCAGGGTAAAGTGACGTCACGTCAGTGTCGTGGGTGCGTCTCTGCACTTACTCCTCTTCAGCAGTACACCCTTGCAATGCTCTCAGTTTGTGTGCCCCAACCCCTAAGCTGCACTCAGGAGTTTGGCCAACCAAGTCTTAACCATAACAAGGATGCTGAGAAGGTGTTGTTTAGAGATGGGACCCATGGGACATGATTCTACTGGCTCAGGTCATCGGGGCACCCCCGTGAGTGTATCTTTGAGGTTTTGTCAGAAATTATGGAAACACTCCTTGCTCTTGCCATGTGGTCCCTGTGCCACCTTGAGACAATACCAGCGAGAACATCATCAACAAACCCAGAAGACCCACTCAGTCTCGGGCTGTGAACTCCCGAAATCCAGGAGCCAGAGCAGGCATTTGGCACAGCAGGTCTGCCGCCACCTGGGATGCTCGCATTCCATTTCCAAGAGCCTCAGTTCCAGTCATGTGTTATCCGGAAGGTAATGGATGATGCTGCAGGTGCTTGGGTCTGTGGTACCCAAGCATAAGGCTGGGTTGAGTTTCAAGCTCAGCCCTGGCTGTGGTGGGTATTTTGAGAATGAACCGAGAGAACTGAATATGTCTGATGTGAGCTGCTCTCTTTTCATCCCTTTGTCAAATAAAATGAAAATACATAGATAGTTCAGAGGCAAAACCATAAGCCAGATGCATCTCTTTCCTCACCTAGGTCGCCTTCCCCAGGTGTTTCCTTATAGTAATGAGACGCTGACAAGTGCTCCCTGTTTTTCATCATCACATAGTGAAGGCAAGAGGCCAAGATCATTACAACTAAGTTACTACATGCATTGCGGCACAGAGGACAGGTGGCTGGGTTTTTCTTCCCTTTTTTTAAAGATTTATTTTATTTTTATTGGAAAGTCAGATATAAGAGGAGAGACAGAGAGGAAGAGCTTTTGTCCGTTGATTCATTCCCCAAGCTGCTGCAACAGCCAAAGTTGAGCCAATCCAAAGACAGGAGCCAGGAGCCTCTAACGGGTCTCCCACACAGATGTAGGGTCCCAAGGCTTTGGCCTGTCCCCAACTGCTTTCCCAGGCCGCAAGCAGGGAATTGGATAGGAAGCAGGGCTGCTGGGATTAGAACCTGCGCCCATATGGGAATGCTTGCACGTGCAAGGTGAGGACTTTATAGGTTAGGCTACCGCTCCGGGCCCAGGGTCTTTCTTTCTAATCCGTGCACCACAGCATAGTTTATGTTACCACCCCTTGGTTTGTATCAGCATTTATATAGAAATCATCACTAGGTAGATGATGAAACAGCATCCCTGGCCCTGTGGATGGACAAGGACTTGGCTTCTAGTTCCTGTGTTACCTCTGCCCCTGCAGGTGCCATCCGTCAAGTGTTGCTCTCCTGCTTCTGTCCTTCCCAGTGAGTTACCTGTGCCAAGGCCTGGAAGGATCCAAGGCCTGGAAGGATCGGGTTTGCTTTCCTTCTCCTGCCACAGAGTACCCCTCCCCCCAGGCCCACTCACCATCCTCCAGACCCCCGGCCTCTGCCTTGCTCCCAGCATGACACACTGTCATTTTCAGGACCCTGAGAAAACCACTCAGTCCTTTCCAGAAATGGCCGTATCCGCTTGCTCTCCATCATGTCTTCCAGTTGGGTCATCCTGTGTGGAGGTGGATACTGCATTCACTCCAGCACGCCTTGTCCGATTGGATCATCGTGTTGATTTGTTACTATGAAGAATCCTGGAGGGGCAACTTCGCTCTGCCTCCT